TGCGTTTTCGTACGCCACACCGAAAGCAAGACTTTGAAGATTTTTTGTCACCTCCTTGACTTGAGAAACGATTTTTTGAAAGACCCTTCGAGTCACTGTTTTTTTTTTAAAGCTAATTTATCTAAATTTTCTGACATGACACTCACACCGGAATCACACATAGACTTGACTTGACCCTCGGCGAGCTCCATGGCTAGGGCCTCGGATTTTGCTTTTTCAAATGTTAACACGTCCATTGACAACAGCTTTTTCTTTATGGCTTATGACTTCAATCCACAAACAAACCTATCACGCCAGGCTTCCTTCAAAAATGCACCAAAATCACAATAAACTGACAGATTTTTGAGCTTTTTGACAAAACTTTTAATATCCTCTCCAGCTCTTGAACTGCTATCCAGAACTTCAGCGATCTGTAATCTTTTTGGACTAAAATGCTCAATTAACTTGGCTTTTAGTTCTTCATAGGATTTTGAGGAAGGCAAATCTGATGTTAGAATATCCTTACACCCCCCCCCAGAAATGTAAAGTATCTACGCCCTTGCTACTTTTGGATTAAACTGCTCGATATCCCCAATCAAATTACTAGCCATTTTTAGACTTTTAAAACGACAGAAATGTCACTAAGCGCCAAGCGGCACTTTATAACGACCGACGGTTTTCACCACACGTGAGTACGTCAGAGTACGACCTGACTCGTCGCCAAATTCTGTTATGTATTCCACAATTGAACACAGGACTTTCTAAACACTTTTATTAATTATACAATAAGAAATATAATCAACGTATTAAGGCCGAAACCCACTAGCAACACGCCACGCCATACTATGCCACGCCACGCCATGTGACGAAAATGTATGCGTATATTCTTCCATTTATTTACATGTGCCGCGTACACACTTGCCACACGCGATACCACGCCATGGCACGCCTCGCCATCTGACGTGTGACGATTTCAAACCCCCAGATGCTGCCCACGCGTGTTGGTACGTGTGGTACGTGTAGATGTCCCCCGGCCGCTATTCCAGCCCCGCCGCAATCTTTTTCTGTTTATTTTTTGCACCCAGATTCTTCTTTTTTTATTTGTTCTCTAAAATCAGAGCCGCAGCAACGCATTTTTCATTCTTCTAGAACAGTGGCTCCCAACCTTGAGAGTAGCAAGGACCAATTTTACCAAATCAGGATTTGCGCGGACCAGCGAGGGGCTTACCTAGACTGGAACCTTGAGAAGGGGGAGGAGGATACAAAGATAGAGGAAGCTTGTCACAGGCGCTGCTGGAGTTAGATCTTTTTTTCTATTGCCACGACCAAAAACCTTCATTTTGAGTAGGTATATTGAGCCTGAAAACATTTTATTGAAGCTCAGTGTTCATTTCTATTCCATTTCGTCAGAGCTTCTTTAGGGCATTAGCAAGAGCCTGCAATGATGAATTGACTTGTTCGATATGATTATTCCAATGTAGAGTGATCTAGAGCGGATTTGTGAGTCATTACTATTTTTGAAAATAGTTCTAGAGAATAATCTAAAGCACTAATAATTGCAAAGATATTTAGGTACTTTAAGTACGAATATTATTTGCTTGATGGAAAAAAAAAGTAATACAAATTTATATTTTGAAAACAGTAATGTTTTAGAATTCGTCTTGTAGTATCAGTTCGCGGACCACTTCAAGGGTTGTCACGGACCACCTAGGTCCTGTCCTGTATCTAGAAAATCTAGTCACTAGACGAACTGCTTCTATACTATACTCCATGATGTACTCAAAGCTACTGAGAAATTTTCTGAATAAAATGTATAGAATAAAATGAACGTGTCATTACGTGGAGTGTTACAAATTTGCACACAAACTGTCCCACGTGAACCTATGTCACATGGCGTGGGGTGGCGTAGTATGGCGTGGCGTGGTGCTAATGGGTTTCGGCCTTTAAACGTGATTGACTTGACAAAACTGAATTACTGACAACGTCAACTTTTTACAACAAAACAACACCTGTCAATATTAAAATCGGTCTTTTCAATAATCCAAATAGTCCAGGAGGTGGCGCCAAAAACATGCAAGAGTTTTCGCAAGGCGGATATTTTCAAAATAGGTCGTACTTTAGAGCTAGAATGCTAGTGTACAGTCAACACTCACAGTTCCGGGACAGCTGGCTCTGGGACGCGGGCAAAGTTGTAATTTTAAGAAGCATCTAAACTGTTTTCTCAAAGCTCAAAATTTATAGAAATTTTGCACATTATCTGTTTGAAGGTCACAGATAACGTATGTAAATCGTCAGACGTCTAGTTCGTTGCAAAAAGAGGGTCAGACGTCCTCAAAGTTTTTATTTTATGGCATTTTCTTCAAATATATTTGTCAAATACCTGCAAAAATATATTTTGACAGGACACCGAAGAAATTGCCATAAAATGAAAACTTTGAGGATGTGTGACCCCCTTTTTGCAACGAACTAGACGTCTGACGATTTACATACGTTATCTGTGACCTTCAAACAGATAATGTGCAAAATTTCTATAAATTTTGAGCTTTGAGAAAACAGTTTAGATGGTTCTTAAAATTACAACTTTGCCCGCGTCCCAGAGCCAGCTGTCCCGGAACTGTGAGTGCTGACTGTACACTAGCATTCTAGCACTAAAGTACGACCTATTTTGAAAATATCCGCCTTGCGAAAACTCTTGCATGTTTTTGACGCCAGCTCCCCAACTAAAAGTACATTATATTAAAAAGGTTGTCGGGACAAAAATTTCTATCAATACCTCAGTATCTCTCCTTCGGATGACCATATCGTCCAACATGGCTTAATTAGCATGACCATATGTATACACATATATACCGCTTCTCAAAAATTTTCTTTACTTCTCCTTTGTCAGGTTCAAATGAGACCATGTATGGAATACTGTTCCTACATCTGGAGCGATGCTTCCAAGCAGTCGTTGGCTCTATTAGATGCAGTAGAAAGGAGAGCAATAAAAATGATACATAATCCAACTCTCACCGATCCATTAAAATCTCTCGATAATAGACGCAATCCATCGACTTGTTATTTTATCGCTATTATCATGGGAGATGTACTGACGATCTGGCCAGCTTCATTATAGCTAGAAGATGTTATTTAGAAACAGAAGAACCCCATAGGAATCCAACCCGTATGTGGTACAATTGGCTACCCCGAGGACCTCTAAATATAGGGCCTTTTTTTGGTTGCGTACTGTCCACCTTTGGAACTTTTTGCCTTTTATTTCGTTTCCTAAACGCTGAAACCTTAACGTGTTCAAACGTAGTGTTAATGTTCACTTAATTTATTCCGCTCATGGTACCGCTTAGGTATTATCGTTGATTATAGACTTTGACCTTTGTGAGAGGGCAAATATAAAAAAAATTGATCTCGTCTGCCTTCAGACATTTTTTAAGTTTCTCACTTAACTGGTTATTTTCTCTGGATACATCGTTCTGTCTTAGAGTGATGTCCATTTTGCATTTTGGGTACCTATTGCTCGACGGTGATCCTAACTTTGGTTTAAGCTATACGATAGTCACTTCTTGCTAAGAAGTTATTTAATACAGTGACATTTTTGATAGGCAATATTCTTTTTGTTTTTAGTTATCAGTTTATTTCACTTTTGGTCCTCCGGGTATGGTTTGCCTAGGTACCATCGTCACCAAAAGTAACTGGGACAAAAATAATTCATAATAATCTCCTGGACTATTTCTACCATCATTCATTTTTTTCATAGTTTGATAAATATTTGACACTAAAAGTCATATAATAGTACAAGAGCTAATATTTTACTGTCCTAGTTATTTTTGGTGACGATGGTACATTTGCTTTGGCTTTGGGGATCCTTCTTAAAGATAGAGTTCACAGCTTGAGGTACATGATTCAGGAGAAAATATTCCTTCCTCCAAACCCAAAAAGCAAATCCTAGCGTCTTCCATCTTGGATCCAAGTTTGGCGTTGAAATATTTATCCCATAACAAATCATATAGCTTGTTTATCAATTTCCACTGAGATGTCGTCGTGAAGGATCTCCACCATACCATCTTCAAGATTTGGTATTTGTGCTTTTACGGATTGAAACTCCCGTCTCTTGTTGCGGGTTATCTACTACAGCTTGATACAAATGTCTCTGTCATAGCCTCAGAATAAAGATCGAAAGAGAGCTGATTGGATTCCATTCTCAGTTGCTTTCTTTATTGTTTCGTCTCTACTATAGCTAACGTTGGTTTTATATTTACTTACAGTTAATTCACTTCAGATTCCAAGTTTTGACAATTTTAAAGAATCAACATAATTTTATCCGGCGATCTCTTCTAGAATTTCTATCACCTATCCATATGAGCAAACAACTACTTAATGGATTTTGTATATATACCTAATGGTCAATGTTGTTGAGGTTGAAAACAAAATCCATAAAAAACAAATTTCTACCTAAAAGCTTTAAATTAAAATGAAATAATTTTTTTATAATGAATTTCAATGCACGCATAAAAGCTTGTGGTTTGTAAAATAAAATAAATTATATATCAGGATTATCCGTACTTTATATTATGCTTCCTGTGAGTGGGATTACCACTATTTCCGCAAGCCTGATATCATTCATGCTCCAATAATACACATAGATTTAAAATTTTGTATGTTGTGTGTATTTCGTATTTAGTCAATTCTACAACAAATAATAATTTAAACGCGAGAGGGCTTTTTGGTTTTTAAATCTGACGTTACGATTAAGCATACAATATATAAATGGTATTTTGAATCAGGCGGCTAAACACATTTACAAATATTTAATGCAATATGGAATTGTTTAAAAATTAATATTATTTAAAATATGCAAAACAATGAAATTAAAAGTTTAATGTATTTTAAATTTTATAATTTAAATCTGTTCGACCTACAAAAAATAGGTACCTAATCCAAAACGTATCTGAGCTTATCAGCTTTTCTACGGAAAGTGGTAATAGCCCAGTTAGAACAAAAGTATGGCTTAACAACAACTAAGAGATATGAAGAAATTTCAAGAAAATAAGACAATCTACAAAAATAAAGATCGTAACATAATCGTAACATAAATAGTTTAACAAAGAATAACATAGAGAACTTGGCATTGGATAAATGAAAGGAAGCTAAAGGAGGTGGCTTATATTTGAAGTTGGAGCACATGTATAGATTGATAGAGATACATCTCTAACATAATATGTATTTAGTATGTGTCGTTTGGTTATTACTGTCTCAAAAAATTGGCTATATCTAGACTCATGTAAGAGATATCAATTACAACCAAAACTAAACTGGATTAAATAAAAAGAGAAAATAGGCCAATCTTAAGGAAATATGTAGGTACTGATGATAATTCAATAAATAAATCTACATAATTATTAAAATTGTTAGAGCTTAACAAAAATAACAAAAGGAAATATTCCATATGTATATTCAAAACGAGCCAGGATTATATCAACAGGTTCAGCGAGGGTGGAATATATTTTATGTTAGGGGGTATATAAACGATCAGAGGGGTGAATGTTACGACTTTATTGACAAGAGGGGTTTGTATAGGGCTTTTTAGAGAAACCACCACATGATGCAAATGGAAATAAAGTTTACATGTATTTATTTCAAGAACTTAAATGAATGTTGGTTTTGTCTTTGTTTTTATATTTTCCATTCCAGTTTCAATTAGTTAGCTAAACAAAAAGTTCTGAATTTGTGTCACCTTTTTAGGCTTCTCGGAAATTCAGGGCAAAATTTGCTACAATATTTTCATGGACAAAATGTTTTGGATTTTGCAATTAAAATTTTAGTGCTGTAATTATCAAAATAAAATTGACTGTATGTGATGTGTACGATATACAATAATTAAATTCCAATTCCTACAGTTTGATGCGCTTCTTAGAATCGTGTATTTTGTTTAGTTTTCATTCAGAATGGTTGTTTTCGTTCATTAATATTATACGGCTAATGAATTCATCTGCAAAATGAATACATACTTTATATTAATATAGTAACGAGAATTTCGATTTTTTGTTTCAGTAAAATTCGATAAAAGTAAATTTGAAAATATCGTTCCATGTGTGGATTAAAATCAATGAAAATTTGTGTTGATTACACTATGCATGATTAATAGAACCGCTGGATAAATAAATAATTATTATGAAACTGAAAAATAATGATGTATGAACATTTATACAGGATTTTTGTCACTTTAAATGTTATTTTTTGATATTACCAAAATACGTATAAGTTTTAACATTACTGAAATCTGAAATAATCAATATCGGAATTTGTGTATTTTACCCTTAAAACTAAAATTTGCTTACCTTCCCAACTGAATGAGCAGATTCTTCTTGAGGCTCTATAGTGCAAATTAAAGGTGGATACATATTAAAGGGCATTGTTCTGTATCTTAATACATTCTATATTCTCTCCACATACTAGGAGTCTATTGGGATTTCATTGTCCTATTTTTTTGTTAGCACGATACCTGGTATCTATATTCTGCATCATGAATAAAATCTATTGAAGCCCTAGGTCAGTACCTATATCATATTTTCTGTTTTGAAACTCATTATTTGATATTCTACGTAAAATTAATTTTCAAACCGAAATAATAGTTCTATTATTTAATTTCAGACTAAATGAAACCAATGAATTCAAACCCAAACAAAAATCGTTGTCCTTCCACGTAATCCGTTATTTTATCGTAATAATTAAAAATTTATTTTATAAAATCGTATAAAATCCCACCAACACATTGTTATATTTTTAACGACAGTAAATTAATAATAATGGGACTCAAATAAATTACTGTTTTTCCTTAAAAACTACTTTCTGTGGGATTTTTTTCAACAGAAGGGTCAAAATTACACACAGGTGGTAAAAAACGTTCATTACCGAATTGCCGGACGTCGTTACACAGCTGACCGATTTCAGCGCGGCTTTAGTGTATTTTTGTCCCCTTTTAAAAGGGGTCCAATATAAAATGTATTCGACAGTTGTTACTCTCATTCATAATAATTAATTTCTCATTTTGCTCCTTATTATATATATATATATATATTTTTTTCATAATAAAGTTAAATCATAGATTATTGTTAATTAATTCGACAAAGACACCAACCATCAACACAATCAAAAGAGATATCCCCAAAACCATCAGGAAAGATCTAAGGCAATTCAAAAAAGACCATATCATACAGACCATTGAAGAAAATAGGAACATGAAAGTGAAGGAAAATTCAAATAGTCGAAAAATTCTACGAAACTTTATACAACAATCAACAGATAATGAATCAAACAGATATTTTGGATGTTTCCATAAATAAAATCCAAAATGCTTTGAAAAAGAAAAACAACAATAAAGCTCTGGAGGAAGATAATGTAATCGCAGAAGCTATAAAAATAGGAGGGCCAACACTAATTAGAAAAATTCAAAATCTGTTCAATCTGTGTCTGCGAAGTCTAACATTCCGGAAAACTGGAACTCATTTATGATTTTGCTACATCTAATGCTGCTAATAAGTCTACTCAATCACCTATACAAATTGTATACTCGGATATAGTGAATCGACTAGACTCTAAATTGGACTTTTATCAGTCTCGGGAACAGGCTGATTTCCGCTCTGGGTTCAGTACCAACGATCACCTTCAGTATCTCAAAACCCTCATAGAAAAGAATATTGAATACAACCGTCCTTGGTATTGGCGTTTGTAATCTTGAGAGAGCACTACAAGAAAGTAGAGATGATCACCGATATTGCGAAATTATTGATAATATATACGGAAACGCAACGACCACCGAAAATCCCCACTCCACCAGCAGAAAAATTAAAATCAAAAGAAGAATCCGACAGGGCGACACTATGTCACCTGTCACCCAAGCTATTCATCACAGTTCTCGAACATGCTTTTAAGAAATTGCCTTGGGAGCAAAAAGGAATAATCATCAATGGGGAAAGTCTTAATAATCTTCACTTTGCAGATGATATTGTCCTAATATCAGACAGTCTGCGCGAAGTTGAAGAAATGCTCCAGTAACTTCAAAATTCCACACAAGAAGTGGGCCTAAAAATGAACTTCTCCAAAACCAAAATGATGATTAATCTGGTTCTCAGTGAGCAATTGCAGATAGACAAGAAGATAGAAATGGTGGACAAGTACGTATACCTGGTTCACAGAGATATATCCTGTTCACAATCCGATGTCCACAGGTGCAGGTAAATTTATCACCTTTCCCTATCAAATAGCATTGAAAAGTGATTTTACCTGTACCTACCTGTGGACATCGGATTGTGAACGGATAATAAGCAAACATGCGAATTGTCGAGAAAAATCATCTTGGGATGGGCAGCATTCGGGAAAACGAGTTATTTGTTTAGGGCTGACTTTTCCTGTAATGAAAAGCATTCAACCAGTGTGTCCTCCCAGTCCAATGGTGCAAAGACATTCAGTGGTATTAATAAGATGAAGTATAAGCGCAGACTCCTAGTATTCGAAGCATATGCTGCGAATGGTATTAATAAATAAAGCTAAACTTTTGTTCAAACTCGGTTGATTCTAGTTTGTGAGCATTTGCTCTAGTAGATATTAATAAAAAAAGTATTTGCTTCAAGTCTGGAGCATCTGGTCTATTTCACTTGAGTCTAGTCACTAGCAAACTCAACTTAGGAAGAGAGTGTATTCAGTTCATAGAGTCGTGGACGAGCGAGGCCGGAAAGTGTTATATCAATTTGAGAAGGAAAATGTTGAATTATGAATGGAGCTCTCACGCCGCACTGCAACATTTTAAAATTTTGCTAAAGTATGTGGCGGATCCTGGTTTTCAGACTGGTGTTACCACAGATATAGGAGTTCGCTAACCAACGGTCTCAAATGTCATAGCAGAAGTTATTCCAAGAATAATACCAGAAGCTGATTATTGAATTAATTACCCTTCTACTGACGAAGAATTTGAGAGAGAAAAGGCTACATGGCAAGAGTCATACAATTTTCCTTGTGCAATAGGAGCAATAGATTGCACTTATATCATCCCCATTTTAAAGCCTGCTGTCCATGGAGACGAATATATCTAATCAACCGAAAAGGATTACCCAGCCTCAATGTTCTCGTAACTTGCAACAGCTCGGAAATGTTCACAAGGGTGGATTTCTCTTGGCCAAGCTCCGTTCATGATGCCCGTATTTGGACCAATTCTCGAATCCAACCAGTTATCAGTGGAAATCAAATTTGTGCTATTCTCCTAGGCGATTCAGGATTTGGCATCGCTCCCTGGCTAATGACACCTTTTAGAGCACCTGGAAATCCAGAACAACAAGCTTTTAACAACATGCTCGCCAGAGAAAAGGTCATCATTGAGAGGTGTTTTGGAAAACTGAAACAGAGATTCCCTATTTCACACAATAATATTCCTAATTCATCATTTTTTGCAGGTTGAGACCTGTTTTCTATCTGATTCCGAAACCCGTGCCACTTCGCGCTGTACTGTGCGTGTGAGCATATGCTCAAGATACTTGAGTTCAAGCCAGAAAATGAGCGAATGCTCAGCTTGTATTTATTTATACCAAGCAACAGTAAAAGCTCAGACTCTGCCCCCATACTCCGAGCATTTACTCCGTGCTCAGATTCAGGTTTATTAATACCACACATTAACTCTCACAAAAACATCAGCATAAAACTTGGGAGTAACACAGAGACGAATGGAAAAATCCATACTTGGATTGACTTCGAAACACCAAGGAATAATGTGGTGCATTAGAACTGGGGTGGACGATATTGTAGAACGTATCGCAAAACAAAAGTGGAAATTGGTAAGCCACGTCGCAAGATCAGAGAACAGGAGAGGGACGAAGCTCACTCATTGAGTAGAGACCAAGAGCCGACAAACGAAACCTCCCATTCGCTGGACAGACGATCTGAAAAAGATCTCGTCAAACTGGACCGCAACTGCTCCAGAACAGAGGCAACTGGAAAATTCTAGAGGAAGCCTGTGTTCAACAATGGACGTGGATAGAGGCTGTTTTGCTTGCTATACATTCTTTGCCCAAGAATGCTCTCACACTCACTTCAG